GCTTGAAATGTCAATCAGTTTTAGAGAAGGGAGAAAGTGGCCATGAATCCTCAGTTGCGTGAATTCGATCCTTTCCAAGTCCATGGATACTCACTGTCAATGAGACCTTAACTAGGAAAAAACAGATGTTCTTTGATTTTAAACTTTAAATGACTATTGAAGTGATGGTAAATGATGATGCAAATCAAACGGAATACCAAGTAGTCTCCAACGACTTCTCAGACATACATAAGCATCAACAAATTGCTATCATCAGTATTATGCTCTCCATCACTTAAACTGCACATGAAATAATTTTTAAATAATATATATTATCATTTGTAAAATCTGCATCATTATTGCCACTAGCTCATAAGCAATCTTAGTTTGTTGATTGAGATCTTGAACCGATTGACGTTAGACCACCATTGAAAATCTGGAAACACTGGACGGCCGTTTCGTTCTATTGTGGGACTCTTCAGCAGTGTGCATCCACGAGCCCGCTCGAGGGATTCAAATTCAGAGCCTTCAGTCTCATGAGAGAACGCTTAGCCTATTAGACCACTGAGTCGGCATCCAAGGATGTTAATGTCTAACCTTAACCAATCCATGAAATTGCGCGACCATGTTCCATCGTACTGAGGTAGATACCTGTCTCTACTCGACACGGAATCTTAATTTGTCGAATATTTTATGTATATGTATAATTCAAACTGAAACATGGGGAGAATAAACTCATATATCAATTTTTAATTTACACAATGAAACGTTCTAATATTTCACAATTACAAGTAATTAGAAATTTAACTTATAACAATCAGGAACAGGTCATCGGAAATGTTAGTCTAACCATGTAAACTAAAAACACAAAAAAAGGTCTGATTTCATTTTTATATTTTCCTAACTGTCCAAGTTTCATGACGCTATTTGGTTTCTCATTTTATCCTTTTTTTTCAAAAAAAGACTAAAACTATTCACTGATACAAACAAACTAAACGGAAAAATTAAAAAAGCAACAACATTGTCCTTAATATTCAAAGGGTTGATTAGGAAAAGAGAAGATGAGAAAATAAACTCCTTCTCATACGTGTCTAATTTTTTAAATTTTTTTTACTGAGATTCATTAAACTCGACAAAGGCGAAAAAAAATATGATAAACATCACTTGTTACTTACTATTTTCATTATAGTAATAGTTAATACGTTAATACGGATAGTAGTAGTTACTTTCCTAATTTAATGTGAGGTTTTATTCGAAAAAATACTCAGTGTGTACATGAATAATTCAGTGGATTTATGAAAAAAGTGAATTCGATGTCAGAATTAAGAATGAAAAAAACAAACCGTAACAACAATGTATTCATAGTGTTAGATAAGAAAAAAATGTTTATTATGAAAATAAAGAAGGGAATGATTGTCGATATTGATTACTAGGTTCTACTCCCACGGGCGGGATCATGGATGCGCACTGCTGAGGAGCCTCAAACTAGGGCGAAACGGCAGTCCAGTGCTTCTAGGTTTTCCATGAATTTAAATATCCAAATTCATCTTGAGAGAAAAAAACATTTAAGATTCTCTCTAATTTTCTTCATCTATATTTGTGGTTAAAATTAGTGTGGTTTGAAAACAGAATAAACAGAATGAATAATGTTCGTAAACAAAAAAATAATAGATGCAATATATAATACTGGACAGTATGAAGATATAATTTATATAAGAGAGTGTATTTGATTGATGGTTTTTCAACTAACTCAATTTTAAGTGTTCTGTGTCAATCAAGAAGAATTTCAAAACCTGGTTTTTATTTTGGATGACATTCGTTAACCAGATAAATATTTGGTTTTGATGGAATTAATGTTTTTAAAGGTATTCAAACTATAATCAATCAATATTGTATAGTTGAGATCATAATTCAATTGAAGCTAGACCACAATGGAAAACCTGAAAGCACTGGACGGCCGTTTCGTCCTATTGATGGACTCCTCAATAATGCGCGAACACGACCGCGCCTAGCGGGATTCGAACTCAGAACCTACTGGTTTCGCGCGCGAGCACTTATCAGCTAGACCACTGAGCCTTTGTTGATGTCTAACTTCAACTAATTCACGAAATTGAGCGACATATCCACCATTGTCTTCAGCGAGTTACTATCTCACAACAGACCTGGTTGAACTCCACTGGTCACTGCTTCTCACTAGAACTCCAGGATAAATATATTTATGCCAGTCGCTGGCGAGCATATGTTGATTAATATCAACAGGGGTTTTGTAGAGAATTTAGTAGTTTCATTAGTTGTGATCATGAGTCAATTGAAGCTAGACCACCATGGAAAACCTGGAAGAACTGGACGGCCGTTTCGTCCCATTGTGGGACTCCTCAGCAATATTGAAATTAGCGAGGATACCAATTCGCTGTTTGATAGGTGGATGACTTTATAAAACTCCAATTTAACGATGAAATTGAAACTTCATATTTCACATGAATGTGTATAGTATATTTGATGCAAATTTAAAAGTATATCCATTATGGTGTACGTATTTGAAATAACATACATTAAATATATTTGTGAACAAGGAATTCATGTTGAAAGACCATTGTCTTCCCCTTGATATTGAAACCACTCATACAATCTACCAACCCGAAAAATTCCTTTAGAGAATTCTATTTCAAGCTTCAGCAAGATAAAATTAAAGTTTGTTCGTAGTTCCTTTAGTGACTTGGAACGCTGAGAAGTTAGTAGGCTTCTCTGTTTTGGTTCAGGAATATGAAATTTGTTAGATATATCCACCAGTTAAGCTATATACCAACGTGTGTGTACGGCCATACATACATTGGGAGGAATAATCGTGATTTTCAAATTAAGGCATTTGAAAATGTACCAAAATGTTTGCGAAAATAAGTAAAATCAAATAGCACAATAGTAGTAGATGATAACCATTCATCCTTCTCTATCGATAAACACTGTTGAATGAGGTCATAAGATTGATCTGGATTCGCTCTTTATAGTTTTGTTCAAAAATGTTCAATGGCTCAAACTAAGCTTTATTGAAGTCTTGGCCGTATGAAAATTCAGATCCATTCTATTTATCTGAAAACAGTTTGTTACCACCGTAATTCACCCTGATTATAGTACTTTATTATCCAGATTAGTAATCTTTACATTGTTCTTTTCTTTATTACTTGTCTTCCCTTAACTTCCATGTGTTTAGCTGATATTTCATTTTTCATATATATGTGCTTTTAACCAGTACATCTGTGTTCAGATCATACGAAATGTATTGCTCTAATAGATCACACGGTTCTAATAACCTTCGCTTACTTATCGTACTATCAAAATCCATCAAAGAGATTAATTGTTTTAAAATATGAATACTGGCACATTTCAGATAAGATTAGTATTATTCCCAATCTCAACAATGAGAAATCTGCTATTCAATAATGTATTTTACATGATGAAGAAATATATTTCATAAACTTATGGTATTATTTATAAATCTAGTTTTGGTTAGTTGGTTTATACATGAAAAATTTATTGATATTATAAATGTATATTGAAATCGCAATTACCATGGCAATTTGTATTCATGAACTGTTACGTAAGCTAAATAGTTAGCAAGTGGTTGATAAATCATACCATGTATACGTGATATTGATGGGTATTTGTTAATGTTATGCATGATTTATGTATGGTTACTTTTCCATTGAGAAATACACTGATTTCTACACTGTTTATCAATACTGTTCATGTATGTTAACATACGTTTATTTATGTGTATATGTTTAGGTATACTTTTAGTGAGAACGACTGTAAATAAAAATACTGTTATTTTACAGCTTACAAATTAGACTTTTAATCTGTCAATGTAAATGTATCTGTCAGACTGTATAAATAAAATCACATAAATGATTCTCAGGCTTTATTTATGCATGATTTATTCTATTGTTTTGACATTTTCTTTCATGAATAATATATTAGGTAACGAAAAGAGAGAGTGAAGAACACATTGATAACGAACTATATTTATGAGTACCAGTAACAAATAATGATGAGTACGTATTGTTAGAAAAAAAAGTTCGTTTTCTTGATCTTCAAATGGTTAGTACTGTATCCAGTATGGTGATTGATGTTAAGAAAGGTTGGTTAGTTCTTTTAAATATTTCGAAAGTGATCAATATCAATGTAAAATAATAATCTTGATTCCCAACGTTAGATAAAAATTTTTTTACAATGCTAACCTTAAATTTTGAGATTTTATTAAATAAAGATTTTTGACTAAATTTGAGTTTAAATGCATCGCTCTTAATTCTGTTAGACGATGAAATAAATCGATTAGATTTTTGTGATTCGAGAGACGTATCTGCTTTCCACCAAATAAAGTTCAAGAGTATACTTTATATTGATAACTATCTGTCAACATTTGCCTATCAAAATATGCACTAACCGATCATTAAGTAAAATTTATTAATAAACTGTCCAGTTATTTTGTTTAGTTAAATAATTAATACCTTTTGGAAACAACTGGATATACGTTATCGAGAATGGCAGATATACTTCATGGCTCCAAGTGAATAGCTTTCTAGTAAAAACTGTACTCAGAACAATATAGTATGATATTGATTGTAAATCAGTAATTTTCCATAGAATTATAGACGCATAATCTTTAAATTTTTAATTTTAATAGTTGAGATCATGAGTCAATTGAAGCTAAACCATCATGGAGAGCCTGGAAGCTCTGGGTGGCCGTGTTGTCCTATTTTGGGACTCCTCAGCAGTGCGCATCCACGATTTCGCCTCGCAAGATTTGAATCCAGGACCTGTCGGTCTTGCGCGCGAACGATGGACTCTAGACTACTGAGTCGGCATCTAACGGTGTTAATGTCCAACTTCAACTAATCCATGAACTTTCATTAAGGGAACATTCAATATACCAAGTCAAAGCTCTAATATAAACCTTAGTTAGACATTTAATGATATCATTTATAAAATAAAATAGAATAAATGATGTTATGAGAAAAAAATATGTCAGGGGATAGTTCCTAGACAATAATATTCTTTGTACGTATACATGTGAATATAAATTTAATGGATACAACTTGATCAATGTATGACAAAAAAGAAAATAATAAAACGATTAATCTGAAATTGAAAGTGCAGTTGTTAGAAACATGGATATTTAGCCAGAACATAAATAATAATGATAATAATTGTAAAAATGGGTTACGTAACATGATCAAATGAAATCTAATCAAAAAGAGCATAAAAACAGAAGTAAGTCAGTTGGGTATGAAAATGGTAATAAAGAATGAAACAGGGGAAAGGATAATGATTTTGTGAATCTATAGATTAAGATCATGATGAAAGAAGAGGTCAACTAAGTTTCTCTTGTCGGTATAATTTTGATTTCTAAATGTTCAATATTAATACAAGTCATATAAAAATGTTGATAAGAAGTAGTTAACAATTAGTTGATGAATTAAATAATGACACAAAACTTATGTAATAACTGAGTTCGAAAATGTACTCTCAAGACTGAAGAATATGGTAGAACTTTCCTTAACAAAGATCAATCATGTTTTCGACATTCTTCTTGACAGCAATTGATTGGCCAGCATCCATTTTTGTTTATAAAGTTTGTGACTTAAGGCAATATCGAAGCAATCCGTACAGAATGCACATATACCAACAAGTGACTGGTCAATTGCAGTCCTAAAACAACAATGGGAAGATTCAAGGAAACAATATCAAGTGAATTTAAACTTCACCCCATTCCACAATCAGGTGGCTATCAGGACTCAGTAGCTAAGTGGATAGCGCGATGTCATTTGAAGCGTATGGTACAGAGTGCAAGACCTGGAGTGAACATCAACTATGGGGTTAAGGTACGTCCAGATGACGAGGCCCAAATAGGACGAAACGCACGTCCTGGATTCCACTACTATCCACCATCTATCTTTGCTTATACATCTTCTTGACAGCATTTACTAGAATTTTGTTAGAATTTAAGCTAAATCATAGTTGATAACATTTAATGGTTATTATTTAGTATCACTAATCGGTTAAATTTAAAACATGTGAAACAATAGACTTCAATGTGTTAACTTGATTTTTAACTAATTATCTAGAAATATGATTCAGTCCAAAGTCTGCTGGAGTTTATTATCAAGGTTGTATAAGTGATAAATTTTCAAAATCATTTTGAGTTTATCCAGTATGATAGTCAGTCAGTCAGTCAGCTACAACGTAGTACCAGGCACATATATGCACCGGTCCAAGTTGCCATACCTCATTAGCACAACAAGATGGACACCGGTTTCATAAAAGTAGTTAATGCAGAGGTGGTAATATATATAATAAATAATCTCTATTGAGTATATGTGAACAGCATATCACAATAAGATTGTTTGGTGTTGTTTTTGAAAAGGTTATTCCATCTTTTTCAACTATCATTAAATATATGAATGTGCAACAGTATCTTTCATATAATCAATGGGTGTATTATTGCACTTTTGAAATGATTATTCAACCATAAAAGTATTTATTATGTGAAAGTGTAATAATGTACAAAAGAGTAATGGTAACATAAGAAATATTGACAAAAGTCTTTTTCTTCTTCTGGAATTACTAGTCGAATGTTATTGGTGCTTAATTGATTATCCATTTATAGTAACTGATAAATCAAAAAACATTTCTATCATTGAATGAGAGGAAATTACTGGGTATGCATTTTAAATTATAAATAAACATAATGGTATACAATGTATAGATCAGAATTTAATGTCGTAAACATTGAAGTAACTATTAATGTCAGCATCATAAAGTGACTTATCAAAGAAAAATTATGAAATGATTTTATTAGTTAATGTTTGATTTCATGATTATAGTTAATTACTAACATGTTTTCGCATATCATCATTGAAAAAAATCAACAACAACACAGCTTAGATTAGTTGATTCAAGAAGCGGTCATGTTGAATGTTAAGAATATGTGTAGGAATCTCAGTTTTTTCTTCGATCAATTTCACTTAATATTTATTTATTAAATAAGATATCATAGATGAATTTCTAAGATTAGTTGTCCTTAGTTTAAACAAAATACTTTGTTATATAGTGAAGATAAATGAAATGATTATTATAATCTGTATCGGTTGTAGAGAAACGAGATGAAATCAAATATTCAAATAACATTTATATAGATTTTATCATAAAGCAATTACACATTCCTACAATCTGCATGACTTCAGTCAATATGAACTCGTAGTAAAATCGATTTTCAATTCAAAAACTTTTTCGCAAATGCTAGATTTTACCAACAATTGTGTACTTATTACTAACCGGTTCTTTGATGAATTTTTGATGGTTCTTTATGAAACTGTAATCTTCAAACTGAAATGGTAATCCATCGGTGATAATAATTGGAGTTATATGAAAAAATATAAAAAGTATAAAAAGTTTGTTCCTTCTGGTAGATATTGAAATATTTGTATGGCTCCTGTTTTGGGTTAATGATGCTCACACTTGATGAGTTCAAAAGAGAACAAAATAGCTTTTCACTGTTACCTAGTTATCAATCAATGATTGAAATGATATCTGATCGTGATAAAAATTCATTTCAAAGAGAATAAGCTTCATAAACTTTCCATGTTAACAGACAAAATTTAGACCAAAAGTAATATTATTCAGTTATTTAACCATTAATATTTTTGTTAGATAATAAGTAATATAACTTACTGGTTTCGGCAACATTCTATTTGTATTTGTTAAACGTGGACGAGATGAATAGTTTTCAAATGGTGAGATTCTACGTCTTCCTGATGTAGGTGATCTTTCATTCAAATTTGTAGGATATGAGGAGCCAACATTGTATGAATCTTTCGTATTTATTTGAGTAGGATAATGAATATCCGTCATGTGTTTTTCTTCATAAGGAATATTTTTCGTTGCATGAGTATAAAACATTGGTTCTATAAAAGGTTTAAATAAGATATTTCACAGTTCATTTCAACTCTTCTAGCCATTTTTTCACATCTTATCTAAGACAGTTAAAAATATATACCACATACACTGACAACGAAACAAAATAGATACTTGAAATTTTCTGTGGGTAGTTAATATAATTTTTAAAAATCCAGGTTATGAAAATTGGGTAATTAAATTACTGTGAAACGTTACGAGTTTATACTTGTTACATGTCTTTCTTTGCACAAGGTTAATATGTTTTTTTTGAAACTATTTACTAGCATTCTCTTGAATTACCCTTATCAAATATGATAATCGTTTTTCTACTGATAAGACTCAGTCAGTCAGTCATATACAATATAGAACCAGAAACATAAAGTTGGATACACTCCATCGGTACAGTGACAAAATTCTCAAGGCAAGTTCTAAATTAGGTATCAGCGGTACGATTCGAGAAGAAAATACGGATTGGTGAATAAAATTACAAGGAATTCGGCGGCTTGCGAGCTAAGAAAAATTAAGAAAGAATGCATTTGAATGTTCGAGTTACCTTAACTCTTCATTGTGTTTGGAGTCGGACGGGATAAGCTTCTGAGCATATGTTGATTCTTTACAAGCTGCTGAAATACATTGATTTTTCCTAACGTTTTTCAAAAGTCGTTCTCTGATATCACTGCTGTTTTCATGATTGTCTGAACATCTTCCCGATCCAACTAAGGGGAACGTCATTATGGGGATTAACCAGTAGCTTCTATAGATGCTCTTCGTTAAGTCGAAGGCTAAGTGAATTTCTTGCTGCAGCCTTTCTGTGTCCAATAAACAAATGCGTGCTCATTATAGAGCATGATCAGAGTCCAAAAGTGTATCACAGAATAATCATCATATTAAGTGATCATATTAGGTTTATGAACAAGAGTTAACAATTTCTAGTGTTTAGGCAGATTTAATCATCGTGTACATTACTGTAACAAATTGTAATTAAAACGATTACATTACAGTTGAATTTTATAAGGCAAACTAGTTCGTATTTGTTTTTTTTATACTGAATGTTATTAGACAATGAATAATAAAAGCTTAAAATGATTTAAATCCAATGCCATATTAGAATATCAATTAGTTACAGCAGAATCATTAAATATATCCTGAGTATTTCAACTAATATGATCTACTTAAGAGTAAATTTATTTGTTTTTAGAATGACACGAATTGAATTAGATCCTTATAAGTGAACTGAACAAAGTTTCTGTTGGCGGCCTGCTTGAAAACCTGAGCTACTTGTTCCTGCCATCTGGATATTTCAACAAGTTAACTGTTTTCTTGTTTGTTTTAACACATCATTATGCCTATCAGTCTCATGACCTATTCAGGTGCGTTTGTGAAAAGTTTACGACATTTTACTACACAAGTTTTAAAAGAGTTCAATTAGAGACATTATAGTTACTGGCAATATGCATCGAAAAGGATATACATCATTCAGATGTTAATTACTGAACTACTGACATCTAATTGACGATCACTCACTATTTATCGTCAGGATCAATCAAAAAATAAGAAAAGGAAACTTGTTGAAATACTTTGTGTTCAAAATTCTACGTCGTACCAAAAATATAACATTGAATAAAGCTAATAATAGTAATAAACAATCTTTTTAAGGCAAAGACGAATAGTGGTTAGCAGTGGAATCTAGGATGGTCGTTTAATCCTATTTGGGACTCATCTGCTAGATGTACTTGCATCTCAGAGTTGATGTTGATTCAGGGACTCGGACCCAGTAACATTCACTTCAAACGCCATCACGTTATCCACTTAGCTACTGACTCGTGATAGCCACCTAATTGTGCAATGAGGTGAAGTTTAAATTCACATGACATCAGTTGCTAGCATCTTACCACTGGCTAAATGGATAACGCAATAGCGTTTGAAAGGAACGGTACTGGGTTCGAGTTCCTGAGTGAACATCAACACTGAGATGCAGGTACATCCAGCAGACGAGTCCCAAAGTGGACGAAACCCGTGTCCTGGATTCCACTGCTAGCCACTGTCGATCTTTGCTCATAAAGCTTGTGACTTAAGGCAATACAGAATACACATATGCCAACATGAGACTGATCAATCGCAGTCCTAAATAACAATGAGAAGATACAATTAAAATAACACCAAGTGAATTTAATAATAAACAACATTTTAATCCTAAAAATATTCTTAACTACATGATTCTACTCATTTGATTTGCTTAAGAGTAAATTTAATAATGTTTAAAATAACACAAATCGAATTAGATCCCTTTCACTGAAGCGAACAAAATTTCTGTCGGTATATAATAAATAGTTAAAATGATTTAACTTCATTTACTAGATTTTTTAATGATGGTTATTCCTATGCAAAAAAGGATTATTCAAATTATAAATGACATTGATAGGCGTTAACCAAAATATTAACTTATCATTTTACTGATAAGATTTGATAAATTCATATTTATTATCTATGCGATTAGTATTAAAATTAGTAGTATATCATCATGTTTCTTTGGTTACACCCAAATATTTTTAAAATACATGCAATGTATACTTACATTTTACAAAATAGATATCATTATTTAATTTGTTATGGATAAAGTCAAAGTAGAGAAAAACAAAACACAACAATAAACAGTCAAGGAAATAAAAAAAATGTTCAATGATTGATTTATTTTTTTTCACAAAAGTAACGTCTTTTTTTGTATTGTTGAAGGTCATTCAGAATATTTAAAGGGGTTATCGGAACACTGATTTTGTATGACTTTTATTACAAATCACTGAGAAATTTCAGAAAAGAAAAGTAGAAATATCAAATACGTTTTTCAAAAAAAAACATACAATGGTGTATTATAAGAAATGAAGACAGGTTATTTATTCTCTGAAGAAGTGACTTACACTAAGCCATGAAACGTCAGAAAATCTAATTTTTCTACTCATTGGGATATTACAAATATACTATTTATTTATAACAATCTATCCAATGCTCAATTTATTCGAAATTATCAAATCAAACCTTGGTAATGATACCTACAAGTCTATACAGTACATCTCTTTGTAATTAAGATGTATGGATACTGAAATAGTTTATTGAAACTTGTCATTTATTTGTATGACTTTGATTATATACAACTTAATCTGTAAAGATTATGTAATGAATTATTTTAGTATTTTAGTAAACATTTCTCTATTAATATCAGATGGGTTTTGTGGAGATTGTAGTAATTTCAATGATTAGGATCATGAGTCAGTTGAAGCTAGACCACCATGGAAAACCTGGAAGCACTGGACGGCCGTTTCGTTCTATTGTGGGACTCTTCAGCGATGCTTGCGCGCGAAACCAGTAGGTCCTGGGTTCAAATCTCGCAGGGGGCGAGGTCGTGGATACGCACTGCTGAGGACTCCCACAATAGGATGAAACGGCCGTCCAGTGCTTCCAGGTTTTCCATGGTGGTCTAGCTTCAACTGACTCATGATCTTAACCAGTGAAATTTCTCTATTAGCCTAGAATTATCCTATATAATACTTTGCAATGAAATGAAATGCATAAATCCTAGATATGTGCAGTGATAAAATACATTTATTTAATTCAAAATATTTATCTAGATCATTCATGGTTTTTTTATTTCCTGTCAATAAATTCTTAATTGCCTTCTTTAATAAACAATCAAATTGATCAGCACAATAATAAGAACATTGATTTTGATTTTGTTTGTTTATCTTCATGTTTGACTCATATCATGTATAAAATTATCTGATTTCATCAGAATCACTGATCAGAGGTGATATATATGTAGTCAATAAAATTTCTTCTTTCAGCTTAGATCCAATTGTACATACATACAATTATTATCTTAATACACGTTTCTATACTTTTCATACCAAATGTCTCATACATACTACAACAAATTCTTACTTTCGATACTGTTAACATGATTGGATGACCTGTTTATAATACAAGTAATTGGAGAACCATATACTTATTCTCTTTTCGTTAATTTTGATTACTGATTATATTTCCTTGAAAAAGCTTGTACCAGAAGGTCGAGTGAAACATAGGACGCTGAGAGTTTAGAATTATAATTTTTTCTCCTTCATGCTATAAAAGTTAGTTGGTGCTAGTTAACTTTAAATAAAAAAAATGAATTTATGCTTGCTAGAAATCATGTAGTCTTTAAAAATGTTTAATTCGTGCTTAACTGAGTCGTTCACAAAAAGAAAATATATTCAAATATCCATACATTTTTACCGACTGTACATGTCTGCGAAACGATATAACGAGATGTTATTTCATTGAAACCTTTAATTTATTATCTACACGACTTTTAAGTAGGTAGTATAGCTATTTTTGGGAAAAAACTCCATTTATATCGAAGTTATATGAATATTTTGTAGGTTCACATCTTTAGATAATTGTCCAAATATTATTGTATCCTTTCTTGTTACTAAGTAATTTAACAGATCAATCATGTGATATTTCACTTTAACTGATATGTTATTTAGAAATATAAACTTCTGAAACAAAAACTTTATAACAATCTTCCGTTGACCTCATTACAACACTTGACAGTATAAGAAATGTTATATTCATAAATTGAAGCTACCTCAGGTATAAGAAAGACAGAGAGATTTGAAATGAAATAAATAGGAATAATTGATCTAGAAAACGTTTGTAAATATTTATTTTAACAGAAAAAGGTCATATTTCTACCACACAATATAAATTCAGTAAGTAGATTAGATTACTCGTTATACAACAGCTGATGAATGTTTTGAGGTCATAATAAACATACTCTCCCATATTTTTTATATTTCAAAGATATATTTGCAAGAAATATTGTACAGATTTGCATTTATAAATTGTAACACGGGAAGTCAGCTAATCAGATTTTGCAATTAACATTTGTTCAATTATATTTTTCAGTACAATTAAAATTATCACAGTTTATTTTTTTGTAAGCAATGATGGATAGTGGTTAGCAGTGGAATCC